GTACAGGAAGTTACAAAAGCAGAATGCAATGAAGATCCACAATCTCTTGTTGGAGAAACCCACCCACTTACTATTCATACTCTTGAGAGCAAGGAAACTCAGACGAGTTGGGATAACAACACCTCTCCAAATCTTTGTAGTGAAGGCGATAAAAATACACTGAAGGATGCATTGAATGAAAACTCGGAATCAGGTGGCGTAATGACAGAACAAACTCCAGCACCCCCTCCGCCACCTCCACCCCTCCACCTTCTGCGTCACTTCGTGTCCATGTAACGCCTCTTGTACCCCCAATTCCTACACCAGAACCAAAGTGCAAACTTAAACACATCAAGTGGGATAAAATACCAAAAGTTTCTTCCGAAAGTAAGTACTTGGTTTTCATCCTTGTGGTTAGATAATAAGGGATAGATAGAGAATACCAATAGTTTTACACGAATATCTAGCTCTCATACTTGTATTTAAATTTACATGAAGTGTATTTTTACCTATTTAGTGACTTGCGATTGATTTTTCAGTCTTTTCGTATCGTTTAGAAAAGAACATTTGGATGGATATCCTTGAAATGCCAGACAAAATTAGAGTGGAATATGCTGATTTGGAGAATTCATTTGCCAACAACGAAAAAGATAATGCATCTCCCAGGACAGATAGAAAGACTAAAGTAAGTATTTCCTTTTGTTAAAGTAGCAGAGCAAACATGGACCTCCAAAATGACAGAGGTGGGATCAGGAGCCATGGAGGAGTAAGTATCCCCAGCTTAAAGCTCACACCGCCGTTTGCTCCTTGTCATGATAGGGAAATAACGTAAGAATCCGTCGACTATTCATTCAGTTTGTATAAGGGCCTAACAATAAGTTTGAAAAACGTTATTCAGCATTTGATTTGGTGAGAAGATCATTGTATATCGATCATATGCATAGAACGCACGAAATGATGACTTTGAACAAGAATAGATTGCTGGTATTCTTGTTTTATCAACTTGTTCGTCAATAATTCACCTCCTTTTAGAAATTGTGCATATATATATTAGATGTACGAAGAACATGTTCTTGTGTATCGAATCATCTGAAAGATATAAACCCCGTATGCGGGTGAGGAAGGTATAATTTCTGCATAAGTATGGGAAGTTGACGATTGAGAAGTTCAAGACATCACGTTTATTATACAGATTGGCTGTTAGATTCGCGTTAACATCTTTTTCAAATAAAATATCCAAATATGAAACAAATTTGTCAGACTCTGTGGTATCTCTTATCTATAGCTCACCGGGATAAATCGTATCCACGTGACAGTATGGAAAAAAAACATTGTTAATTGACAATTCGTCGTCGATATATCAAAATGTCGATTGTTTTTTTTTCACGAATAAGATTTTGGACAAAGTCTTCTAACTTTATATAAGAACAGAAATAAATCTGCTAATAACGGGACGCAATTGATACCCATCGAAATTCCAGTCGATTTTTGAAAGATGTCTCCAAAAACCACATAGATATTGTCAACCAGGAACTCAAGCATCTTTTTGATGTTAACTTCAGAGAAATTGTGCTACAATCAGAATGTTTTAACAAACTAATTTTAAAATGACAGATGACAAAATAAGTAGATTTCAATTTTAAATGAAAAAGCAGCTGTCAATGCATTGTCAAAAAAGCATGGACATTAAATTATCAGGGTAATGGTTGTATGTAATGTTGAAAAGTCGTAATTTTAAGCTGTTGATTTAGGTATATTCTTGCGATTTCAAATTTTCCAAAGGTTCCTTGGAATTTTTAAGTATCCACATCTAATTTACAACACTTCCTGAATAAATTGTTACAGATTACGTACTTTTGACGTTTCTCATTCACTACTGATTATATCTTAGTGAGAAGTTAAGAAAGAGGTTTGGTTGAATATTTGCTGGAACTCGCTTTGAATCTTTGATTTTAAAGATTTTTTGAAGTTTCAAAATCCAATAAAGATACTTGCATGATATTTCAAATTCATTTTGGTTGTTTAAAATATTAAAAATATTTTTTTTAAAAATTGACATACAATTTCAAAGTATTTCTTCCTTAGAAAGGGAACTATGAGTAGAAGTAGGATTGTCACTTGTAGAATTAATCCCAAGCTTTTCTAAAATACAATTCGCACGATGAGCCTTTCAAACGAAGAACAATGTTTTACCTGCTTTGTCAGCAGAGATCAGTCCGTACTGATTCTGTAATCTATCTAATTCTTTTTTTTACTTCTGTATTATTGAATACAGAAGATAAGGTAGTTTTCACATTGCCCCTCAATATTCTAATGCGCAATTGTATCAAAGACCTGATACATTTAATCCATTCTGACAAAGTCTTAAGCAATCCAGAATGAAATTTTCAATTTTGCATCAGCAGTCTGCTGATATGCTCGGAATAAGAGTTTTATTTTTAAAACAAGATTAAAACATTTTATAGATGTTTAAAATTCTGACTCAAGTTCTGGGACTAGGCCCCAATATGATGGAGTAGACTTAGACTTCAGTCAAACTATCAATCACCTGTAAGATGTTTTAATTGTCAATAAAACTTTCAAATAGCATAACCCCGTTGATGTAACATTAGAAATATAATATATAATCATTGTGGATCATTTTACTTGTCTTCTACAACATTTCGGTAAAAGATAAAGATTTTGACAAAAGCTTTTCATTTTTAATGATCTCAGGCCATGACTCTGTACTTGAACAACAAAATATGCCTCAGTTGTTTTTTTAGGATATTTAGGATACATTATTCTCAACAACAGCAACTGCAACAGATCTGCCAGGTATGAACTTAAATAGTCTTCAAATATCTTTCGCCTCCTGATACTCAGTAATTAAAACAAAACACAAGGTAGGTAATCGTGAATTAAATAGTTTCCAAGTATTAGTAGCTTTCATATTCTGTTTAAAAAAATATGCAAATAGGTACCTTTCATTAAGTCTCCAATAAGCTTTTATCTATTGCTTAGTAGAAAAACTTGCTTTTTATGCTCCCGTAATCAATTACTGTACTCGGGGAGATATAGTTTTGCTACATTCGTTCGTCTATCTGTCTGTATATCTGCAAAACTTTAACCTTCCCAATAACTTTGATTCCTTGGAGCTAAGGGTATCATGTTCCACACGTGTATTGCTTGTTGAAAGTCCCTTCTATTTAACCACTTGATCTTGACCTCAGAGCTTGACCTATGACTGATTAAGTATATCACATTTTGAATGAATTAAATGATTGGTGTTAGACGTCTTAATGCCTTGTATTTTGTTTTCCTTGGAATTTGACCTTCTTTTGAAAAAACAACATATATTTCACTGCATGAAAAGTGGCGTTTAATATAATTTAATAAATTCGTTTACTCCAGTAAATTTCTTGTATTGAATTTAATTTATGTATAACGGTACATTTTACATGAGATATATTGTGATATAATTAAGTACAGTTTTCAAACAAGTATAATCACATTTAATGCAAAATACGTCGAAAATAATATAGTTTAATTGAGAAAATTATACGTTTCGTTTAAGAATATCGACATGTTAAAGTAAATATGCTTATACTTAAAGTTTAAGTACATTTTTGGTATTTTCAATATTTCATAAATAATTCTTTATACCTAATGTAAACTTAATTTAAAATAGTTTTGAAAAAAAACATTTAGGCACCCTATTAATTTAATCTATTCATTCCTCATTTTTATTTATTTAAACCTTATGTAGATTTTTTCAAAAATGTCGAATATAACTTAGTTTTTTTCTCTATGATCGACTACTACTGTAGTACAATTACATCGGGATCGAAGTCGGGCTCGAAAAGCAATTAATTTAAAAAAACACACCGCGCCGAAATTCAATTTCTTGGAGAGTTCCACGCAGCCATGTTGAACTTGATCATGATGTTGTACGGGGCGAAAGAGAGTGACGCAAAAAGGAGAAGCATCATTAACTTTGGATGTAATTTCTGTTTTAACAGAAGATGAAGACATTTACGACCCTGTTTAGCGGTAGGAACAATATACAAAATTTTATCATGTGTCCTTGAATGAATAATTGCCTCTGCTACTGATAATGTTACTGTTCCTTGGTCTTGGCACTATACATAAAATGCCTGGCAGTAAAAACGTTTGGGCAAGCGCTATTTAAATTTTGTAATAATTATTCAACACTTTTAATTATCTCTCTTAAAGATGGATTTTAACCAGAATTTTCTCGTTTGGTATTGGTTTCAGAATGTAAGTCACTAAAGTGTTCCTCTGTTCAGCATTTACAGAGTATGTTGTACAATGTAATAAAATATTTATTTATTTCTTATGCATACTCAAGAATTCAGCATTTATTTTGATTATTTAAATAGTTGCAGTGGACTGTGCCTGAGACGATTCCCCACATTGCCGGCTATGTAGACAGCTTGTGAAAATGGTGAGAACCATGCAGCTCAAATTTCAATTAACACAAATAAACTAACAATGTTTTTATCAACCTGTATCTTTAAGCATAAGACTATAAAATATATTGCAACAACTTGAAATGCTATATACCAAGTAAACAAGACGAGGTTTGTATTCTTATTTTCCTTATCCTAAAAATACAATAGCAATGGATTCTGAGCTATGCATAATTTTTTTTTACGTTAAATACTTAAGCATGAATTATTAAAATTAGCTATCATATTCTATGATGCACAATTATGCATGCATTATTTACAGGAATCCAAATGATCACAAGAAATGACAAAAGCAGTATGAAGAAATATTTCTTAAATTTTCTGATAAGATCAATAAAATCACATGAATTGATTTTTTTAGCTCACCTGAGCCATTTTAAGACCCGAGCGAGTTTTCTTATCTGTGTCTTTTATTTGTCTGTCATCTATAAACTTTTCAATTTTTTACATTCATGAGAATAAAACCTAGTTTGAACAAAAAACCCTGCAAGATACATCTTTTCTTTCAGATATTGTGCCAGAAAAGTTTGAAGTACATGTAGCTATGGAAATGATCAACATTCAACTTGCTGAGCCTTTCTTCTGAGAGTGACTTGACCAGATATTTGGCTACCCAGTATGAGGTACGAACTAATCATTTGTTGTACGACTTATTGTGTTTGAGATTGCCACCATTTACTAGAACATTGCATTCGCTGTCCACTTTAAAAATCTGCTATCTACAGTGTAATTTGTTAAATTAAATATATTTTACTTTATATTAAATCACTTGCTCATTATCCCAATAACTTGCATGTTAAATGCTGTAGATGCTAACCTTTGCATTTTTGTTTACTCTTAAATTCCATGTGTTCCGAGTATGTACATCCATTTCATATCATGCTTTGTCGTCTCTAAATTTAATCTAATACATATCATAATATGTTTTTGAAATAAGTCGCTGAACTAGATCACAAAGATTAAAGATTTTATTATTGTATGAATGTTATCTACTTGCTCTAATCATAAATACATCTGTTTGCATATTTTTTCTACGAGATGCCATACCTGCTTTTAATTTTTCATATTTTTTTTTATCCATAGTATCTTTCTGCTACATTAAATAAAATATCGTGGAGGAACACAAAGAAAAGGACTGTGCATCTCAACATATTCAAGGTCAAGCAGGTAAATACATTGGTAAATTGCTCAAAAAAAAAAAATGGCAAAAAGTCACCAGTCCCAAATTTACATGTACTTCCACAAAATCTGTAGCTTGCTGCTGTGAAACTATAGATACGTATGTCTTAATATATTAAATGCTGTAAACTTTATTCTTTTCATTTTCGAAAACTTTGTAAATCTTCAAATTTCATGTGTTCGGACTACGGTACCATTATGTATGTTTCATATCATATTTTGTCGTCTATAAATTTGATCTATACATATAATTATATGGTTTTTTATGTAATTCACTTACCTAGATGACACAGAGAATTTTTTTCATTGTGTAAAATGTTATCTTCTTGCTTTAGTCATAAGTATACCCTATTTGTATATTTTTTCTCCTTTTTGTATATTCTTTCTACGGAGAGCCATACCTGTTATTAATTTTTCATATTTTGTTTGTGACAGCTTTTTACCATATCCATAGTATCTTGCTGCTAAATGAAAGAATTATTGTGGAGGAGCAGAGAAAAGCTTACCTCAAGATGTTCAAGGTCAAGCAGGTAAACATAGTGGTGAAATGCTCCAAAAAAAAAAAAAGATGGCGAAAAAATCATTAGTCCCCAATTTACATGTATAACAACATTAGCTTCATAATCTGTAGCTCGCTGGCCTGAAATATAGATAATTATCTGTCTTTATTACCCAGACTTGAAAAAATGGCATATCTTTTGTGGTCTTCTGTAATTTTTTTAATTAATCAAAATTGAGCTGTGTTTCCTCTAGGTCAATTGATAATTTTACAATCAACTCAGATTTTGTGTACTATTTAATATATGCAATTGCATAAATCCGGAAGCACACATATAATATGTATATATAGGCAAATGGGTATTTATTTTTATGTTTGTTGTAGAAATTAGGAGCTAGATGTGCTTCTCCAGAGCTGAAAACTTCTTGGCATGAAGAGAAGAAAAAGCAAGAAGAAGCAGTTTTAAATTTCTTCGTAGTACAAAAAAATGATTCTAAAGATAATACTATCTATGAAATTAGAAAACTGAAGTTGCGTTCTGATGAATGTGAGAAAGTCTTCAAAGAACAGGACACCAAAAGTGCAACTCTCAAATCAAAGCACTCTACAAGGCAGAGCATAAGGAGAACTAAGACAAATAAAGAATCTAAAGGAGTCAACCCTATGTAGTAATTGAACAGAGATGGGCTATTAGAGATGAAATATCTGAGTTGCTACTTTTTTTTCACAAATGTGATGCTTGTTTTACTTATCTTTAATTTACACATTCAATGTTAGATAAGAAAAAAAATATACCTAGTGTTGTATTTTTGACAGCGAAATTTAATTTTTTTCTGATGCTTGATTACAGATTGAAACTGTTATGTTTTTTATTGTTTAAACATTTATTGGTTTGTTGTGTAGTATGCAATGACATACATTTTAATTTTGATTTATATATTACATATATGTACAAGTCTAACTTAAATAATAAGTGCATGGACATTATTGTGGAAAAAAATAAGACAATCAAGGGTAGTCTGAAAGATCTTTGCTGACAGTAAGTTGCAGATCTTGATACCCAAGTAAGAGAACGGTGGCGTCTCTGACCGATCCTTTTGCTGTTGCTTGTGGGCGAGTGAGGCTTCTCTGTCAGTGGCTTAGTGAGTCATAGATGTAAAAAATAGAATAGGCAAATGAGGTAGAAACATTTCTGAGTAAAAAAAGGGGTGAATTGTGATTTTAATAAATATTACAATTGATATTGCAAGAGTAATGAGAATTGCAAGAGTAAAATATTAATTTGTTTCCTTCCAGTTGAAGTAAGAGAGTTTATGACAAGAATCTTTTCCATTAAAATGGAATTGTAATTAAAGCTTAAAAAAATTGTTAAATATACTTGTACATATGTTAATACAGGACTTTTATATGTGCATGTTTCAGAGCTCACTCTTGGTATTTTAAGGCAAGTTAAAAATATCACTATTGAAATGTCTTGCATTCCAATGTAAAGTTGATTTAATGAGGATATGTTAAATTACAATCATCAAGCAATAAACCTAGCAGTTGGAACAGAAATGAGCTACATGTATTGGAAACAATTTTAAGCTGCTATTGTTTTGTGTAATTGTGATACTTTTTCCTTAATTTGAATTGACATAACCAAATGATATAAAGGATTTTTGGGTGTTGTATTTTTCAGTCAATATTAAGTATTTTACAAGTCGAACTTGAATAATTAGTGCATGGACATCTATTGTGGAAATACTTGGGAAACAATATAAGGGTGGGCTGAAAGAGCTTTGCTGGCAGTAAGTTGCAGATCTTGATACCCAAGTAAGAGAAAGGTGGTGTCTCTGACCGATCCTTTTGCTGTTGCTTGTGGGCGAGTGAGGCTTCTCTGTCAGTGGCTTAGTGTGCCTTATTAAATGTACATGTAAAACGAATGGGCAACTTTTATTGGCAACTTTTATTCTGTTTATGCAAAGTATGATATAATTTATTGTGGGAAATTGAAAAGCCATTTACAACCCATGCAGCAGTTTTAATAGGGGCAGTTTCAGTCAGATTTTGCAGTCTTTTGGACTCCAGAATGACTACATTTTTGACCTGTTGTGTTCTGATTTATTGCGGATTTGAATTTTACATACAATTCTATTCTTATATAAAATTATTTATAATTACTTCAGTATATTACTTACTACTAGTATGTTTAAATTTACTCCATTATAATTGAGCTACAAGCATGATTGTAATTTTTTAAATTCTGACTTTTAGGCATAAATTTGAAATATCTTGTACTTTGTTAGAACTCATTGTTTGTAGACTATTGAGATAACATCTAATAAAACTGAATGAGAAATGCATTTGTGTATGATTGTAAAATACTTGCCAAAAAACCCACAATTGTAAACCATACAAAGTATTGATGGAATAAATATAAGATAAAAATATTATGCAATAATATGATAATATTAAATTTCATCAAATACAACCTTAAATCTTAATGATATGGGAAGGTTTAATTCGTACATTTTCATCACTTATACACGAGATTTAATATTAGTTGATGAAAGATTAAAATTTGAACGTATTAGTAAGTTTACAATTTTCCGTATATAACGTAATTTTTGGAAGTATTATAAAGTAAAGTGTGAATTTAACAAAAAATAATGAGGTAAAGATCTACGTTAAATTTTATTAAATGAACAAATTTAATATGACCATAAAACTTTATTTTATGGCCATGTTTAATAATAATTATACGTTTTGTATATTAGAGGTATAATACTTGTTTACGGCAGACTTAAATCCGAACGTATTAGTAAGTTTACAATTTTCCAAACTTTATTAAATTTGTTCTTTTAATTTTTTATTAAACTCGTATTAAATGCTAATTATTTTCTAACATTTACGATCCCACAATATGTTATATTATGCATTTAAACATTAAATAATCGCAGCATTTAAATCGCATTTAAGGTAAAATTAAACCCGACTTTTCATGCAGTGTTTGGTAATACTTTTGAATGGCTTTCATAATTCGTATGTATATTTCTTGTAGCAAATCCTTTCTAGGTTCATTTTATTTTGACCTTGGAGGTTGGCCTATATGTACTTTAGGGGGAAAAAAACTTTTACATTGGTCATAATTTTTTAACAGTTAGTACTGAGTATTCATATTTCACAAGTGTATTTATATTGAATATACCTTTTCGAAGTACCATAGTTTTTAATCTCTTGTCCTTGAAGTTTGACTTTACCCTGAGTTGCCACCCAGGGTGTCGGAGATTCATAAACACATCTTGTCTTTATCAAGCATTTCATCTTTTTTTTTTACCTTATCTAAAAACTATGTTTATTTTGAATGATAAAATATCTGTCATATGATTTATAATAAATAAATGTAACATTTTATATGTTTTTTATTCAGCATTAAATTTCCAAATTAAATGGAAATCAAAACAGAAATAAATACACGGAAAAACAGAAGCACGAAAATATATCCCCTCTTTCTCTTTTATTCTTTCTCTCTTCCCTGGTCCAGAAATTGATAATTTCCTCTCTCTCTCTCTCCTCTCTCCACTTGCTCCTCCCTGTGTCCAATCACAGATCGCCTTTCATGTTGGTATCACAGCTCACAGTCCACCCACCCTTCCTGTGACGTTATTAGACGTCTTCTTTCTCAGAGATAGTCTCCTCAACACCTTACCACGGCGTATCTCATCCACAATGTTATCAACGATCTTCCTGTCTTCTGCTTTAGCAGAGGCGTTAAAGGAAACTAAAAAAGATGCACAAGGATGACAAGATGAAATGAAAAATACATGGTTAAATTTGAAAGGATTGTAACACCCTTGTATAATGAATGAGATTGAACTATTCTTGTAATATGAGTACATGTACAAACCTTTGCGTCTATCGGACGTTCCTTCTTGCGCTCTTCTCCGTCTTTCTGCCGATTCCTCTTGTTGACGCTGAGATTCCAGTTCCTGTAAATAATTCACAACCTCAT